TGTCTCTCTGGAAACACTCTTTTTCTGCCTTTTTTCCGCTGGGAAGGAGAAAGAATAGACACGTGGCTGACGTCTTCCTTCCCTCCCAGCACGCGGAAGAATAAAGTGTCGCAGATTCGACTCGAAAAACTCGTATTCCCATTCGAAGGGTGGACCAGTACTTATGTCTCGACTAGAAAGTGAAATGCTATGTCACTATTTCCCAACCAACCCCACCACATTAAACTCGTATATTGGATTTAAAAATTTTGAAAATTCAAAGCAAAGCATCATGTCAGTCACTTTGATATCTGCTCATATTTGTTAATTACCGTATATACGGATTTAAAGTCATCCAATATTACAGAGTAGCTATAAGCAAGTTTATACCGAAATGCATCCCCCTATAGGAGGTGATGACCGAAGAAGAGGAAAAAGAAAAGTAACAATAAGCTTAATGTACTATTTGTCAAGTTCAAAACAGGCTCGTAGTCTTATCAGAATAAGGTACCTCTAAAATGTGCTAATCAATTGGAAACATTTGTCTCATTTACTTCCATTCTTTTTCAATTGAAATTTTTCATCTCAATTTCTGTTATTTCGATTTAACGCAGCTCCAAGTACTCTCGAATCACCAACACTTGCGATTCTTTAAAAAAAAACAATCTTTCCTTTTATCAATGAAGAAATAGTTCTGAATGACAATTCGTTTGCCTAACGTAAACTGGGGCAATACTCAGGTTGACTCGTCTGTTTTTTTCTCATCCAACAAGTCAGAAAGTAAAAAATTAAATATTATGAAAATAACAGGAAGACCCTATTTCGTTTATAGTCAAAAGAAACTACTGTAAATTTCGTGCCGTTAAGGACAGACGAATGAGATGAAATTAAGAGAACGGTCGAGCGTGAATCCGACAGTTCCTTCGAAAGTCGAAGAGAAACACGAGGTATTCTCATAAGCGAGAGAGAATACAACTCTCGAGACTTCGGCTGTGCGAAAACTTTGCCCAAGAATCTAATATCATCCCTGGTACACACACATTCTGGAAATTCCCGTGTACCAAAGTACGATCCCGGCTCCTGCACCACTGACACACGTAGAGACAGGGAGAGGATTGCTATCTTAGCCACCACAAAGCAGTGATAACATTTTCCCTCCCGGGCGGGAGCCTAGCAACCCTCCGATGGTCCAGGTCGATATCTGGATAACGCGCGGTCTCGTTGCCGAGGAAACCGGAAAAACCACGCCCACGCAAACATGGCCGCCGGAGGGCGGACGAAGGTACACGAGAGGGTTGAATTATCATAATATTGGTCATTGCTGTGGATGAGGTGAAGTAGCTACAGGAATCTGTGTTCTGGGCTTCAGCTATACCTATATACCGTTATACATATATTCTCAACTCTCTCGCTCCTCTAACAATCTGACTATGTATCTCCCCTCCCCCCCTCTCACTCTTTCTCTCTCTCTCTCTCTCTTATACTCTTGATCCGTCTGTCTATCTATTCATTCATCTATTTACCTTGACTCGCAACTCTGTAACCATTTCCCTACTATATGTATAATTCAAAAATTATGAGCCCTCTGTTTTGTCGCACCCTCATTCCGTAAGCTTCCTTTTTTGCATCAGACAGGCTCGTAAACTTAATATGCAACTGGACCGGACGAATCTAATCAACGTGTCTTGTTTCCATTTTAATATTTCTTCTGACTGTGAAAATGGTATAACTTTTTTTCAACAAAAAATGCTGCGTTACCGTTTTAACCAATGAAGCTGTAGGAAAGGTAAGTTTTGTTTAATAACGTTATAGTTCAGGTTGGTTTGCAAAAATTGGACAGTTATACTATTGACACTAAAATAAATAGACCATCTGGTGTCCTGGTGGTGAATTATTTTTTAAAAAACTGACTGTGATACCAACGTTTCGAGAATCGGCATCCCAGTAGTTGATGTGACCCAACGGAAGTGGTGAATAGAGGAGGTTGCCGCACGACTGACACCTTTTGCTGACACCTGACCCCTTTTCCTTCGACATTTTGTTCTTCGCGTCCTACGTTCTTTGTCAAGTCGTTCTCTGGTATTGACGTTCGCATATCAGAATATGCATTACAAGGAGTGAATTTCAATTTTAGACTGTAATTGAAAGTTCAAATGCAGTCAACATGACGCGATGATCTTAATTGACTTATATTTACGCAGAATCCAAAAAGTATATAGCAACGTTAATAAATATATACTAGGCCAAATATACCCATTTTCCAAAAAATCAGCCGCATTCGTAATAACTGATCAGTAGGGAGGTAGGGTAAGATGAGCCTAGTGAGCCAAGATGAGCCACCCTTAAAATTAGTTATAGGCAGAACAATCATGACATATATACATATATGGAATTTCTATGACGGCATTATTTCTTTGAAGGGATATACCCTATACCTCATTTAACCCGACTTTGAAAAAGAGAGTTCAACTCAATATAATTTGACCCAGCCAATTAAGCATTTTCATGCTTGTAAATGCTGACCATCCTTTAATGTCAAGAAACGAAAATAGAGCAACGTGGCGAGCACGATAGAAACTAATGAAAGAAGTTAGCAGTAAACACGAAGCGTGTTCGGCAATCTCGGTCCGCGGACAGTTTTCCAAATCGAATCGATTTCTCCAAGCTACCTAGTTGTCTGCTCTCCCCACCTCGAATCCCGAGCATCCTCATCCCCAGGATTCCAGGAGATCTTCGTTCCCGGCGGATGTATCCTCGGATATACCGCAGGATAAAAGGATGGAAAGAGCGGGAACAGCCAGTCCCGTGCAATAGCTAAGGAACAAAAATGGAAAAGTAGAGAAAAGCAATCTGTGTTTTTATCGAATTCCGATAGCCACCTCTAATCGAAAACTCGAGTGCCTTTCGTCCTTCGATTGTGGCTGCACCTGTACACGTACCTCTCGGCACTCCCTCCTTTACCGAGTAATGTACGAGCTATTACGTCAATGTAATTTATGATTCCTATCTCCCGACAATTATGCAGGAAACGATGAATATCATAGACGGTGATAAACGCGCCACGGTATTGGTCTTTCGATAATTTTCATTCGCCGATCATTCGAGCACCATTGTTTTCCCATTTTCTCTTTATCCCGCGAGATACAATCTTTTGGACAATTTTCCACACTTTATGCACACGATTTAAACTGCGCATAAATTGCTTGGAAAATATAACGATCAATACGGGAACGACATTATGGTTCATTTGGTAATTTTAATATCCGGTAATTATTGAAGGCGATCGATCTTACGGCGATGCGATCGGAGAACGTACTTTTTACCTGCCGTAAATCGGCACGAGGAAAGCATTAAGTATTATCTTGATCTTGAAATGAGAGAACGAAATTCAAAGCAAAATATTCACATGAGGAGTGAATCTTTTAATTTGTATTATTAATTATTCAGGAATCATTGGTCTTCCGGACTAGTAGACATTTTCTTAAAAATATTCACTACACCTTAACGGACGATGATGATCGTCCACTGCGTCTATTTCTCGTACGAGTAAACACCCCTTATTGTTAATTGTAGATCGAGCGTGGCTGCGTATGTGTAACCCTGTTTGGAATGTAATATGTCCTGAAGGACACGTGGCAGCCACGTGCCGGTAAGTGTTTGTTTCGGTTTGTATTGTCACCACGTATATGAGCCCGTAAGGTACCTAAAGGCGTTCATGGATTCTCATCGGGGAGTCGCGCGCGTCTCACCGCGCCCCACTTCTCATTAATTTCCCATCCATCGGTAAATAATGTCCTCCACTATGGAGACATCATTGATGATTCAAGAGCTACATGGGAAAGAGGTTCGTTATACGGATACGGTACACAGTGTCATTGATCCTGCCAATTTCAATCCCAATACAAGACAAACTTTACTAGATAGCAGCTGATAATCCGTTAATAAAAAAAATCTTTGGCAAACTTTTCATTGACTTATGACAACTGATAAGGGAAAAAGGTCGAATTATTTCATCGTTATAAAACAATTATTTTATTAGTATGTATTTCTCTGCTGAATTGTCTTGATATTTAGGGAATGTCGTAAAGGCAAAAATCGAGTATTTATCTCTGGACGGTTTTTCTTGGCTTTGTTAAAAAAAAGGGTTATTAGCGTTAAACGAATATCTATGTGTCAGTAATGTTGAAGGATCGCCAGCGAAAGGGATAGAGGATTGGTGATACGATGGAAACGTGGAACGGTTGGCTCTGTGCAATTTTCGCGGGAAGTGGTGACGCTGAATTGTAGTTGTTTGCTACCGTACGACGGTATTTCCATTAACTTTTCACGTGAGTCGAGATCACAGAGCGGGAGTAAAGGTAGAGGGCTGGAGAGCAACGGTTATCTTCATCACGATCTAGGAATGCAATATAGTCACCCCTAAGCGTCAAGAGTTGCCTTCGTATCACCGTTTAGAATCTCGAGGGGGGATTAAAGCGCTATGAAAATCCACTCATTATCATTCCCCTTCGTGTCAATTCCGACACCAGCCAACCAGTCGACAATATATCTTTTTTTTTTTTTTTTTTTAATAAACATCTACCCTTGCTAATAGATCATAAATACGTCCATGGATTTTTTATTTGCCTGATCCTTTCAATTTTTACTTTTATACGTTTTTATTCATTTTCAATTTTTTCAACATAATTCCAATAATTTGTATACGTGAATCAATTATTAAAAAAAAAACATTTTCGTAACTTTTTCTTGATTTCAAAATGGGTAAGTTTTTTGGAATAGCAGGAACGAACAATCAGTCTGAGATTTTTTTATTTCCAATCTATTACTAATGTCGCTGTTGTTGTATATTCAATGAAACGAACTGAAAACGTAGTTTGAAATTAGTCTGAAGAAAATGGATTATATCTTAATAATGCATTATAATTTCATCCGAATTAAATTTGCCGTGAATTAAACTTTCATTACAATGCAATAGGCGGGATTGATTGAATAAGCGGTTAAATGCTTAATTAATCCTTTATTGTTAATTATTATAAATGTATCACTTCGACACGTAAACTACTCTCTACAGAAATAATTTCACCAACAGTAAGTACAGTTGGTCTTTTATCTATAACTACACATACACGATTGCGGTATTATTTTAATTGAGGTACAAAGAGGAGTTGACTTTAATACTTCAATCAACGAAGTCTGCATACCATTGGGCACGGATAAAAATGATTAAATTCAATGTACGTGATGTAATCAATTATATGTATATTCATCCGTGCTCTACTCATTAATTTAGATTCTATTTAATATATTCCAAACCAGGTACATCATTTAAAAAAAAATGAAAAATAGAATTAGAACGGTGCCAGTGTTCTGTTTAAAATAACGTACGATAATATGAGCATATGTAAAACAAGATACAACGTTTAAAAAGTTATTTTATGTTTTAAAAGGACCCTTCGTAAGGTTGGATTTGTGAAAATAATTAATTATTCAAATTTAACACGAAATATCCGCTGAAACACGTCATATATAATTTTTTTCAACTTTTAAAATCATTTTAGAAAATTGTCATACGTGGACTGGGAAAAGAGATGTAGAAAATAAAAAAAATTGATTGAATACAATTTTGTGCTTGCGAATAAGAAACAGGCTACGTAGTTTATTTAATCCCTTGAGTGTCACGCTAAAATACAATAATTTCACCAGGACGATCACGAAAAATGAAGATTATTGGATTTCAATGAAACTTAGTGTCTTAAAGTTTAAATGGTCGCTGAATTCAAATAAATTTCGAAATTTGAGATTTCATAAATTCAAAACTACGCGTCCAACGAGTCGGATGAAAAATACAAAAATTGTTTGATTTTTCGGGGTCATAGTTTGCGTTATTATTAGGAACAATGTGCATTTATTGGCTAATGTTAGGGTATAAATAATTATTATGTTATTAGACTTCATATTTAACGACCACACAAACGTTAAGATACCAAGTTTCACAGAAATCCGAAAAGATTTTCCACTTTTGTAATTTTGATACACTATTTTACACCCGTCATTTTGAACATTGAAAGTCTAAAGTTAGATTCGCATTTAGCAACCTCAGAAACCATTAGACTCCAAGTTTCATGAAAATCGAAAGAGTTTAAATATTTTTTAATTACAATGCGTATATATGGACATACGTAAGTGAAACTCAAAGGGTTAAGCATGACCACTAGTCAAGTGCACTCCAATGCACATATGAACCAATAAAAGCAACTATTTGTATAGCTTGAATCGAACATTATTTACTTGATTAACAAATATTCAAATGAACCGAATAAAATGATTTTTATCGCAAGTATACGATGAAGTTGAGATAACACAAAATTCATTTAATTAACTTTACAATCTTTGATACAAACAAAATTTATTGGAAACCAATAAGTTTTTCTTAACCAATGCACAGGTGGTATTATCCAAATTTTTTGTTCAGTATAATAATTAGAAAACAAAAGGACTGGCTAATAAGAGAAGGCACCGTCTTTTCAAAATTTATGAACAATTGGAATCGAATTTTTTCATAATTTTGTCATTTATTTTTTATAAGAATAAGATAATTGTGATTGTGAAACTTGGAATTAATTTCGTCTAATGTGTGGCAGTATAAATATTGCATTAAAATTAAATAATTTTTTATTTTCGGAAATCGCGCCTAACAAGGGTCCCTAATCCTCTTAAGAATAATAAAAACGTCATTATGCTTAGGACAATTTGTAGAGTTAAAAACTTTATGGGATAACGAAAAAATAAATATCTTGGAAGATCTCTGAGTTTATTGGTAGAAATTGGAACGCGAATGACACGCAATGATTTAGTAAAATAAAATACTCTTTACGCAAGAAATATGCTTTTACACCAGGTTAACCCCTCTCTTACGTTAATGCAGTTGAGTTCTCACCGTGTGTCTTACGAGCTAATTCTATTACACAATCCTTAGATCTAAAAGTGTCGAGAACATATATATATATATATATTTTATTTATATATGTATACATGTATTTATTTATATATCTTTAAATATACATTGGCATCGATGCACGCATTAATCTTAGGTCGTGTGTTTATCGATTATATCAAATATGATATTTTTTTTTATATTACACATTACAATATTTCCAAGCCACTACGCGTAACAATAGCTATAGGAGACTCACTGTTCATTAAAAAATCAAATGACGATCTATAAAAGTTAGTAAAATTAAAATTAAGATTGCACGATTGGTGTGGCCATGAAATTTGAAAACCTTGAAAATTCTATTAATTCGAGATTCCACGAATATATCAAAAAAAAAAAAAAAACATTTGTATTTGAACTAAAAGTCTTCTTCTAATACGCAACAAAAACAAGTATTAAATTATTATACATTATGTTACATGCATTATTTAATCCGGCACGAGATAAATAATGACACCCGGTATATTTGTGCCAAAACAAAATTAACCTTTTTGGAATTAATATTGTGAACTTCAAATTTCTATAATACAATGAGATACTTTTCGTCACTCCGTGAGATTACGAGGTATTTTTTCTATAAAGAAAATATTACTTTCTGGAACAGCCTAAATTATATTTAAAGGAATTTCCTGATATCATTTATAATTCAATTAAAACGTTTTCTACCCAGTTTTCAATAAAAATCGAATAAAATATTATTGAATCGAGTAATCGACAATTTGCAAGAGCTCTTACGTACATTTTTAAAAACTATTCTAAATAAAAATAATTGCCTTTTCGGCAAAATATGATATTAAAACTTTCTCGTTACAATTTTTTTGGGCGTGCTTTCGTAATCTATGTTGGCACGGGTAGATAAGCAAATATCTTTCTGAATATTTGCTAAACCTAGTATTACCATATCGTATGTACACTGAGCGTCCACTTGGCCCATCATGGCCAATTGAACGGGAGCCATTGGTGGTCCGATGAAAAAATGCGCAGGAAAAATCAAGTGCTACGCAAATATTGGCATAAAAGCTGTATTTACAGAGCTATTATTAATCTACCGCGTATAAATAAAATAATCCGCCGAGAAAATATGAGAATTTTCGGACCTTGAGAAGGACCTCTGTCTGAGAAAAAGAAAAAATATATATATATAGGAAACAATCTGTCAACTGTAGAAATCTATTAATTTTTACTAATTCTTACAAATGTGCCTAAAACAAGGTGGAAAAATAACATTGATCACGTAAAATCCTTTTGAAGTTATTGGATCTAGCATAAAATTTTCTCTAATAAAATTGACATCGTGTAAACTGGGCTGTCTTGCGATGACAGCTCATTTTGCATAGGTTGAAGTGCTTACGAGTAATCAAAGCTGTCCTTAGCTTTTTAAATGGATCGATGTTTTCATTTATCGTTGTATGACGTTTTCTAAGACGAATGCATTGATCCGGATGCAAGGTACTCTTTGAATTTGATTCGATTAGAAATTTTAGTAATGGATGAGACTTAATTTTACGAAAGATTTTCGCAATAATAATCATTACTACTAATGCAATAGGGAAACATTGATCGCTGATTTGCTCGATTTTTAAATAGTTTCAAAATTTAGTGAAGTACACGCTATTCCAAAAAAATTAGATCTTTTGTATCAGCTGGCCCCAGATGGGTCCTTCCCGTCTCATTTAATAATTTGAAAACTTTGCATTTAAAAAAAATGCTCCAATTCACTTCTCGGGATCAATGAATCTACGAAAACGAATTTAAAAAATCCATCTAACAAAATGAACATGACTTTGATATCTCGTGAGCACCTGTGACGAAGATAAGATCGTTATCATCCTACGACGGCCTCTCTTTACATTACGTAAGATTTATTAGAAAGAAAAAAAACATTCTCCCTAGCGCCACTAACTTTGCAGCTATTTAAAGTGATCCAAGGCCATTGGCCCACCTTGTATGTTAGGAAAAGAATGAAGTTGAAGACTAAATAAAACTTCGATATCTTAATTTTATTTTCTCTATTAATAAAAAGTTAAGGCAAACTTTGAGACACGAAAGAAAACTCATCGGTGAAACGACGATAAAGAAAATTCATTATTCAGAGATTCAGTCGAATCTGCGCCAATTATAGCCATACATGATATCTATGCATGAGGATCGAGGTATATTTTTTTACACTGGATGAATCTGCCAATTTACTATAGGACTTTACACAATTCACAAAGAATTCTTATGCATCGTATGATATAATCATCAGTCAAAAGAAACGTAAACTGAACATCATCGAACGAATACAGTATTATTACCGACATTAAAATGCGCAGTGCCTTTATAGTTACAGTTTCAATGTCGTAAGCAATAGTTTCCGCGCGGCGGATTGGGAACGATTACGACTGTTCCCCGGAAAGGCGCCTAACACGATTTCGATCCGCAAATTGCGACCGGTTAATCTCGTGGCAAATAAAGAGTCCCATCTGTCATAGTAGATGTTGAAAACTTCATCAAATTCCTCTTGACTCTCTAGTTACTCGTTAACGTCTCCTCGAGTGTATTGCATCTCCATAGTACTTACGTAAGATTTCTCTGAGGGCTCTGATATCACAAAATATCATAAGATCATTCTCAAGTAATTTAGCCAAATTATTTTCTCGACAATATTAGCCTCATAAACATCCAAGGATGACGTATTACGATACTATGACACCTTTAATATCTTTTATTGTCTTTGGTTCTTGAAACGACTCGGGGCGCAATGTTTTCCTGTTCTCACTATCCCTGCGTATTGTCCTAAGCTATGTATACGCGCTAGCTGAGTTACTGGGAGGGAAAAAGAAGAAGAATGATGATGACGCGGATAAGGATTCCTGAGGAGCAACGAGGAACTCACTTGAAGGTCCGAGGAGAGTCTGGAGTATCAACTGACACTGACACTGATCGCAGGTTATTAAACAAGTGGTGAGAACGCCGATGCCTGACTTCGGATTTCACGATGTTCCGACGGTCGTCTTAAATCCAAAAGACCACCTACTCCGACAGTCAGGCCACTTCCGGCACCAGCACTTCCGCCACCGTTAGCTATGACACCTCCACCGATACCGATACTCTGCTCCGTACTGACGTGCTGCTGTTTCCCGATGAGGGCGTCGATGCTGAAGCTCCTCTTCTTCTCCGAAGATGACGTCGGACTCATCGTGCTCACGCTGCTCCTTGGAGGAGGATTCAACTGTCTGATCGGTGGCGCCGAAATCGGCACGGGTTTGTACAGAGGCGGAGGTGGCTCTAGGAATCCGCCGAGTTTCAAGGCCTCCAAAGCACCGGGAGGAAAGTCCAAAAGTGGTAGGCCAGGCGGTGGCGACAGATACGCACCGGGGTACGGCATAGCACTTGGAGGCCCTCCACCGGGACAAGGTCCTCTTTCGCCACATATCGCGAAAGTCGCCATTATTGCACGATCACGAAGGACGTAGTGCGGCGGGGGCCTCTTGTAGCGCTTCCTTCGTCGCAGGAAACTACCATTGTCGAACATATCCTCTGCGAGAGGATCCAGAGTCCAGTAGTTGCCTTTGCCAGGATTACCTGGCTCCCGTGGGATCTTGATGAAACAGTCGTTCAGCGAGAGATTGTGTCTGATGGAATTCTGCCAGGCAGGAAACTTGTCGTGATAATACGGAAACCTGGACATGATGAACTCGCAGATGCCGCTGAGGGTGAGCTTCTTCTGAGGCGACTGAAGAATAGCCATGGTGATCAGGGCTATGTAGGAGTACGGGGGCTTTATCAAGGACGAAGACATCTTCTCCGTGGAATACGTAGACGAGGATTGCCCTGATTTCTGTCCCGAAGACATCATCGAGTAACTCTTCTTGAAGGCTCTGTTGCGATTCCTGGCTGGTACCGGCGAAATCGGCGTTAGAGGACTCGAGGAGGATTGTGGCGACAATTCATTTTTGTCTAGACTCACCGGGTCCACTATAGTACTGTTGCTGTCGGAATCTCGGTCGCTGTCAATGCAACCGTCACACGAAACGTTCGCCATCATCATCGAGTCCATGTCCATCATTGGTTACGCTTCCTTTTTCTTTGTTTTCACGAACCAATTACGCCATCCTCACAATCACGCTCGATTTCATTTTTCCATGAATATCTGATCTCATCTCGAAGACTCTTACGTCGTAATGAATTTGAGTTGCAGCGCGCGTTCAATCAGATGTCAAGTCTCAAACGGATCTTGAGTCCTTCCCAAGTCGCTTTAGCTGGAGGTCCCTTGAGTAGCCGCAAGGTCGTACTTCCTGAAGAATACGATTGGCAAGTCAACGATAAAGTCTCGATGCATTTCGTTTTCCTGCTGCGGCAAACTCAGAGAGCAGACTGTCATCCGAGTCGTTATCTCTGCACTATCGTCCTCTTACGCCAATAGTTTGTTTCCTCGCAGTGATAACGCATTTTTTCTTCCCAGTCTTCTACACTTCGAGTACACCCTGAGGCTTACCTCGTTCGAAGAAGCTGTATATCTACTACGTCTCTTTAACGACCTTATCCCCTCCTTCTCGTCCGATGAGTCTTTTACATGGCCAATGCCAAATCTTGTTTACATCGCCTTCGACTTTCTTAACACAATTATTCTTTCACAAAGTGTCTTTCTTTTTCACAGCAATATTGTTTTAGCTCATAAAAGAGATTGCACTGATAAGCACGGTATAGTATACCGATTAAATGATAAGAATCATTGCATATTACATCTGCTAAAGCTAATGAAGAGACAGGAAGTGGACGTCATCGCGAGAATAACCGTCACCTTGCACCGATAGTCCCTGACGATGAATCCTTTTGCAAAATCCATATGACAAACCGAACGTCAAAGGGATACACGCGTGACCACGAGGGTCGAGTAATGTTCACGTTAGACGTCGCGACGCTCGAGACGTCTGTACGGCCGAGGAAGCGGATTTCGATAGCGTGGTAGCTCCGTTGGACCTTAACCGGACCAGGGGCGAGACTAACCAGTAGGAAGAGAGGGACAGAAAGACCAAGTGTCTTTTCAAAAGAGAGCGTGCGAGAGAGAGAGAGAAAAGGATTCTGTAGGGGTGTAGGAGAGGATTTGGCGTGCCTGGTAGGGGATAAGGGAGTCAGAGTAGGGAGAGAGGGAATCACGATTTAGGGGTAGCTATGTGCGCGAGCGTCGAGTTGACCCTGCAGGCCACTGTGGGCTTCGCTTTGAAAACATCAAAATCACGTGCCTCCCTCTCCTGGGCTGCTGTGTACAGTGTGTATACAGAGCAGCCAGGACCCCCGTTCCTCTACCGTCTATCACACGGACGAGCCAAGAGGAAGATGAACGCGTTGCCGGTGAATGCGAGCGAGGGTAGCTGCCGCAAGAACAGAATCGCAGGATTTTCCAGGGTTGAGCTGGGTAGAGAGCAGGGTAGTGCCAGAGTTGCGAATTGATTCGAAGGCCTTGTTCGTTCAGGGGCGGATCAGAGGGCGGGCATAGGCATCCCCTACTACGTGGGAACATCCCCAACTCGTGCGGCAACTCGGGAAAGGGCGTCGGTGTTGGTGGCGCCAGAGTTAGGAAAATATAGGGATGGATAAAGGTTCTTTCTAGCTGTACCCGACTGTACCCGACTGTACCTGAGTATACCTGCCTATATTTACGTGAAGATGAAATTGTCGCACTACGGAGCTGCTTTGCTTTGTGCCTCTATGCCGTTAAAAGAATGTAGGTATAATGGTTTCGTATTCATGAACCAAAATAACCCGTCGATATTGCTCGAGAGAATCTTCGAGGAGGGTGAAATTAAACGATGCCTTAACTCGATGTTGCCATTTTTATCGATCGTTTACAATTGTATTCCTTATAAGATTTCCTTGTTTTTCACAGTACTCTAGATTCAGCAATCTTATTCAGCACTTTCAGATTTTTTAGAACGCATATTTCATCAAATTTCACCCGTACTTTGTATTCTCAACGCCGCAACTCCAATATGTTGATACTAGAAACTGTCGTCTACAGAATCGTTGGTAATACAGAACCGATGGTTATCTACGTTCAGAGCCGTCTTAGCGCGACGTAATTATATTGTCATACTAAGATCATTTACTTGACACGTTAGAATCTATTTCCACCCAAGTTCCTTTTTTTTTACAATAGAAAATTATGTACGCTACACCTTGTAATATAGATTTTATGTAAAACCATATGAGGCTGACAGCAGAGAATTTCTGTAAAAATAAAACTTTTTACTTATTATCCGACTATGGTTCTTATGTCATAGAACAAAGATCGTAATCTTATGTTCTTTTCTTATATACTACATAATTGCAAGGTTACGAGAAAAATATAAAATCATCACTTTCATGATATTTATTGGCATTCCCATTTTCTAAACTCCATAATCGCTAATTAACATTCAATTATTTTTCCGAAATTTCGAAAACGTCGAATTTTATGTGTTAAAAATATTCATGAATCTCCAATCGGTCATGGAAACGGTACACGCGAGTGCACTCCACACGTATATCTAGTTGACACCCCTCCAGGCAGCTCAAATAGAATCTGTATTACGCGTAGTTGTACACAGAGACAGTGTAGCCTGCTGGGTGGGTGGACGGACGAATGGATGAACAGATAGATAGCGAACGAGCCAGGCAGCCAGGCAAGCAGATAGGATATAGGATACGTCTACCTGGGGAATCGGTTCACAGAGGAGGCAGAGAGCGAATATTATGTTTACTCGCACACATGGCACTGCGATGCAAATAATCCGGTATTATTGCACTCACTCCGTGTCCCAGAGTAAATCTCTTTCGATTCTTCCCTTCACCGTGCAAAACCCTGTAAGAGCAGCGAGAATTGATGATACTATGGAAACTCATTGTGAGAACGTGTTAAGTGCGGTACGTATGCGTTAATGTTGATATTAAAAGTTAATTATAAATATATACACTAATGATTGAAGACGGGAAAGTAATAATCAGTTTACTACGTTCTGTTTTTTCCCGTGTTTCTTTATTTCCGAGATTTTTCTTCATTTGAGTGTCACTTCAAATTTCTAAGTAAACAAGTATACTTGAAGTGAGTATCGTGTAAGCTATATATCTTAGGCACTAGTTATTATCGTAAAAAAATTAATTTCGCATATATGCTACTTTCAATTCCAAAATAATGGCTACCTGGAAATATTATTTTTTTATCTGCATTCGGTACTCGATTTATTTTTTTTGCAAATACACATACACGTTGGTTCTTTTTTTTTTACGTTCGCGATTACACAAGGCTCTGCTGTATGTTGCATACAGTCAGTCATGCTCGGAGAATGTAACAGGTAATCAGTGCACTTGCGAATTTTTCTACTGACACTGCAAATAAAAAGTGGAATGATATCAACTGAGTGTCAAGGAAATCCAATTGTGTTATACTATGGTAATAATAATTATTATCTTTATTATTATTACTGTCGTTATCAGTATCCAGCTATTAATTACATATTTCTACTTGATAGTCCGTAACGACACACATTCCATATCCAGGCATCGCCGCTACATGGAATTCTTAGAAATCGTTCGTGTAGCAAAGTAACAAAAACTTTTTCGATTAACGCGGGATTGACAAAAGATAGTATTTTTCGTGTTGGAATTGTTTAGCGTGAATGTCGTTCACACAACTAAGAATTCGAATTATTTCGATAAAGCGAAGAAGAATGTTTATCGCGAAGGCATTTCCTAATAACTCGAACAGATTATTTGAGTTGCTAGTCCCAGAAAGGTCCTTTATCATTCCCACGATCCATACCAAAGAAATACAGTAAGTTCCTTTGCCTTTGACATCGTGATGGGATTTCAATAAATCTCACGCCTGCAGATATAAAGCTTCATTCACAGTGCTAGTAAAATATCGTAGCTCACACTCCAATATCGTCGAAACTCTCGGGAAATCATTGATACGCCTACGTGAAGGAATATTTGATATTTCTTCAAATACACGATTTATAAAAAATCATATTAACATATGAAAAATAAAAAATCCAATACTAATTTCTTATTGTTACTGATATAAATATAAGTGGGTGTAAACTAGTCTGTATAAAAGACTATTATTATTGTATTTTGTAAGCGGAGTAGTGATATTAGAAATGAGAAAAAATTATAATCGCAATTCGTTTTTTTTTAAATATTGTATCATTATATTGTACGATGAAATCGTTTTTGATTGTTTAGAAACGTTGTACAATTGTTATTTTGGTTTAGTATAACAGCGATCCCGAATCTCAATCTTATGATGTGGTACATATTAAAAATATTTCTGTATTAAACAACCTTTTAAAGTGACAAGTCAAGATTACTTTTTTTCGATAAAAATGACTTTATGAAAAATCGTGAAATTGGTTCATGGCTTCGTATACTTACCATTTCGCAAAAGCTCTTTGGGTTACACCCAGTTGTCTTTATCAGTGTCATGAAATTTCTGTGAAAATGCATCCAACAAATATAGTTTACTCTCATCTGGTCAGATGAAAACAGAAAAGGGAACGCGTGAAACAGACATTGCATTGGTAAACGGATGGCACTAGGTTACGATGGAGAGCACGACGTACGTACATATGTAGTTGGAGGCCACAGAGTTTTTCGTGTCAAGTTGATCCGCGGAAATAAAGAACTTCGCGCCTGCGCATTAACCATTGTCGCTCCAACGTGAGTAAAGTTCGTAATAAAATTTTCAAAATTTCACACAATACTCTTCTAAACTCGGATATTTTCAGGATTCTTCAACAGGACTGTCAGTCTCAAGAATAGCGTAACGCCATGGCAACGAATCACGATGAAAGCGCTCAGTTTTTAATATAAGCTTCGCCTTTGCAGGAGGAAAGCTCGACCCTCAAAGCCATTTAATATAAATATTTTCAGAGCTTTCCGGGCATTGCCTCGCTCTTTTGTGTGTCGGTCTAGGGGCACGACGAGCTGCTAGCAAGAGGATTTGGATGAAAAGGACTCTGGAGCGCGGACGCAGGATAACGGGAAGGCAAAAAGATAGGATGGCGAGAAGTGGATGACAGGAAGGAAGAATGGAGACGAGAGCAGTTCGTGCCTCGAGAAAATGAGGTAGCAGGGGGGTGGAGGGGGCACTGTATTTTCCAAGGAGGAAAAGGGGAAAACGAACAGACAGAACTCCCTGTATTACCGACCGAGCGATTATCTCCTCAATCTTGAATCCTGGTTAGATGACTAGGGGAGAAATGCTTAGACGACCGCCATTCAATCGCCGGGCGGATTGCGGATTCCACGAGTGCCGCAGTTCGATTCGATTCCTTACGACTCGAGTCGATTGCTCTTTACTGTGGACTCCGAAATTTCCTTTTTTGGATCCTGAATTCCTGATTCTTCGTCTCTTCCTTTTTCTTTACAATCGTACATGGTAGGTCAATATATACATGCATTGGAACTCAATGGGTGAGCAACGATCAAACTGACGCAATCGGCTCGATTGATTCCTTATTTTTCAAGTTTTTTTTTTGGTATACCGGATATATTCAGATATATATATAGCTAATGATAGTATTTCATTTTATTTAACAAACGCAGATGCATTACACTTGACGTGTTTTTGTAACTACCCAATTTGGGTATAGCCTTATAGTTTCACTGAAATAAAATTTAGAAGTCATCCCAGCTATTTTTGCTTATGCAATATATACTTGCGTAAGTATATGTAAATGAAGAAAAGAAGGTTACTGAGGAGTGTTGCATCATACGTCATATTGCACGTGAATTTTCAAAAACCTGTTTCGATATGTAACCATACACTAGACTACAAAAGAGAAGCAAATGTGAAATATAAAGTTTTTGAAAAACCGGTGCTAGTTGTAACAGTATATGTATCTCCTAAAAGAAAACCAGTAGAATCGTCGCTTCAAAACAAAAGATGATCGTTAAACCTTCGCGCATCCGCGTCCTGCCGACAGTTGCACGTCAGTCGCCTGTGAAAATGGGTCTGTACAATTTGCTTTTCAGAGTCACCAAAATAATTATTTTCGACGTAATATTCT